GCCTCTTGCTTCTTCTTATGGTTTTGAACTGACAACAATCTTTCCCCAATGGCCTCGCCGAGGTCATCCAATTTTTGATGGATGTAAGTGGTCATATCTCATAAGCTTTCTTTCTGGGTGCTTACCTGACCCTAGTACTTAGAATCAAACTGCCTTCCAAAAGTTGGTCAAACTAGACAAATAAAGAAAGAGCACAGTGGAATGAAAGAATATTTTGTTCTTACAGTTTTCAAGTGCTCTTAAGCATTCTCAAGCATCATATATTTTCGTGTTCAATTGCTAATAGTCTAACCTAGATCTGGTTGGCTAAATGAAACTGTTGCAATTATATTCTTTTAGAAGTTAAGTGTCATTTATATTCAAAGGGCCAACATGTCATTAGACAGAAGATTAAACTGCAAGCTATACCACCTTCAATAGTGTATAGTATTTGCATTACACTGAAGGCTGTAGGAAAACATGTATGTATGAGCTCTGTAAATATATACAGTACCATCCTGAAGAACAGTAGCTCAGTGCTGTTCTGATACATTCTGATCCTTCCTGCCTGATGCTCGTCTGGTTTTTATCAGTTGAAATTCTTCAGTTGCATGTGTATGATTATTTTTAAAAAAAATTTGCGCAGGTCAACATGTGCTGAGAACCGATCTCATAGAGGACCAGGAGGGGTTCTTTATTGCTTTATTTGTCAGGAAGGGTGTGAGCCCTCCAGGCAAGCACATCAGAGATGTTGGAAACACATTACGAGCTGTTCAACGAAGAAAAATGAGAAAGATAAATTCTTTCTTCCTCCTCAGAACTTTGGGTTTGTTGTTGTAATCCTAGTTTTACTTGTATCAATCAGGCAATCCGTAAATGATAACATCCTAGAGAAAATTGCCAGAATTTTTGTCTCCAGGTGAGAATGTAGTTTTGGTCGAAGTTTTGTTTTATTCATTTCAGGTTTCTGATCGTCTATTAAACACAACAGTTATATAGCAAAAATTTTCTGGCATTTGATGCTTACATCAACTTGTATTTCTCTTCTGCTCTTTCCTTTTCAAAAAAATAATCAAACTTTCATTATTTCGCCATGACAAAAAAAAATTTGTATTTATTTATAAAAGAATAATATTTTAAATTATAGCATAATGAAATTTATTGATTGCCTGCTTTTACAGAGGTAAAATGTGTGGTTCAATAATATTATAAGGTAATTTGCCCGCGCTTTGCGCTGTCATAAATAATAATTGCATTGAACTTGCAAATAATCCTTTACTAATATTCATACATTAAAAATAATGGAAAAAATAGGTTCTTAAAAAAATATTAGCAATATTCCAAAATGAATTTGATTATGTCATTAACACATAACTCAAGAACCTCTAATGAATGAATTATTCAAGAAATAATAAATCATTGGTCCTTTAATCAACATTAAAAGGAAAATAAGAATATATATACAAAGGCACTTCGTAAGAAAAGGAACATATTTAAGTTGCGTAGGTTATACAATTGTGATATATGCCTTGGAGAAAAAAGTCAAAAATTTATTAACAGATTCAAAAAAGAAATTATGCTTGAACATTAAAACAATAATAACTTTTGAACTTACATAATAAATTTCTTCAATTGATAAGTGAGAAACTTCATATCTATGTAGAAATAGATAATATGTAAGCTTATATATAGTAGTTTTAAGTTATAGAATTTTATATAGAATATCAAAATATGAATTCTTGGAATTTAGTACAATAATTATTTTCTGCACAATGAATATACCTACTATATGTGTATATGTTCAATATGAATGGAGACAATAACTTTACAGAAACATAAACAACAGAGTTTAGAACGTGTACTCAAAAACAACAACTAATATTATAAGCATAAATTAATGACTGTAAAAAAAAAAATCAGGATATGTAAAAATAGAATGAAATAGAAGGGAAAAATTGAGTTCACTGAATGAACAATGTCCCATTAAGAAAATTATTTCACTCTAATACCAGAGGTTTAAAGAATTAGATCCTCTCAGGATGGAACGATTTTATTCACCAACGTATTGATGCAAAAACAATGGTTTCAGTAAGTCACTCAATAAGAGTAAAGTACATGAATATTTATTAAAAATAGAACTTTCTTGTATTTTGATGTTATAGTATTTTTATACAAATTTATTTTTAAGAGTAGAAGTTATTCAATTGTAGTTTACTATTTGTTTTATTAAAAGAAAAGACAAAATTTCAAATCATAACACTATTTTCTCCTAGTTTACATAATTTCATTTTACATATTCATTAATTTGTTTTTGAAATTTTACAATGGTTAGTTTATTTTTTTCATCTATATGCATGGTTACATGGTGTCTCTAATTAGAGAGTCAAATAAATATTTTTCTCAATTTTCTTCTTTGCAAATTTCATTAGTATAACACTATCAATTACTTTCAAAATATTAAATATTTTTAAAATATATATATATATATATATATATATATATATATAACTAATGTGGTTATCAAGAGCAAATGTTTCATAATCATATGATACACCAATAAATAATATGTAGTCATTATGTGTTTTAAAATTAAAATGTAAGCTTTCAAAATCCAAATTTCATATATAATATAGTTATGATAGTGTTTTGGAATTGAAGTTGTGCACAAACAAAACATTAAGGATACTTGAAAAGGATAAAAGAGAAGTAAGGGATAATGGGTAAAAAGTTCAAAAAAGTACTTTGGTGGTGAGAGAATAATCATCATTGTATATCATATAATTGTAATTAATTGCTAGTTTTAATTCTATTATTTGACTTTCTATTATTTTTTTTTTACTCCTGTTAATATTAACATTATTATGAAAACAACAAAAAATCATATAAACTTTTAGGCTTGATCTCTTGGAGAAGAAAATATTTCTTTGGAAAATATTCTAAATAAAATGTATTTTGTAAAAAGTTATTTATGAATCTGCAGTAGTTGGATTTACATAGTCTGTACTAACAAATACTTACAACAATAACTTTATAGAAACATAAACAACAAAGTTTAAAACATGTATTCAAAAACAACAATTAATATCATAAGCATAAATTAATGACTAAAAAAAAACATACCTGGATCTATAACAATAGAATGAAATAGAAAGGAAAAATCGAGCCCACTGAATGCACAATGTATCCTTAAGAAAATCATTCCCCTCTAGTACCCGAGGTTTAAAGAAATAGACACTCTCAGGATGAAACAATTTTATTCACCAGTGTAATGATACAAAAACAATAGTGTCAGTGAGCCACTCAACAGGAGCAAAGTATACATATTTAATTGAGGAGAAGAAGAAGAAGTTCAGAATCAAATATTTAATTGTGCAGAAAAAGAAGTTCAGAATTTTTGTTGTTTTAAAATGAAAGGAAACCCCTCTATTTATAGACAAAAAATGGTAGTGTGAACAAATGCTTATTGTGCCTTACCGAAAAGGTCACAACTCTTTGGAAAAGTCACAGCTCTTCGGAAAGGTCACAACCTTTCATAAAAGTAACACTCTTCATAAAATCACAACTTTTCATAAAAGTCACAACTTTTCGATAAAAGTCACAATTTTTCATGAAAGAAGAAGACTAATTTTGGAAATAAATAAATTAAAAGGGAATGATTGTTTGTGGTAGCACCACGTAGACGAGACTAAGATTCTCTTTTATATATATATGATATATAATATGATGATTTATACTCGGAAAAAATATGCTACGTAGATACTCCATCTCAATTATGTGAGACTTATCACTAATTGAAATTCATATTAATATTAGTTAATAGTATTTCAAATTATATTATTTCATCGTCATATTAACATGAAAAATCATATCTTATTATACTTTGTATATACTCCCTCCGTCCCTATTTAATTGTCCATATTTCCTTTTTTAGTTGTCCCTATTTAGTTGTCCATTTTGACAAATCAAGAAAGGACAACAAATTTTTTCCTATTATACCCTTATTTAAATAAAGTTGTCATAAATAAAATAAATAAACTTATGAACTTCCCAGCATTGATTAGTTATCTTGAGTGAATTTATTTTGAAATTGTAAATTGTACTATAAGGGTAAAATTGTAACTTCACTATGCTAATCATTGTTGTCTTAATCTGTGTGTCATTCCTAAAGTGGACAACTAAATAGGGACGGAGGGAGTAATATTTAAATGTTAAAATATTTAAACTTTAAAATATTAAAACAATTTAATCCATATTAATTTAAAAAATTAAGTAAATTAAGATAAAACTAGTGTTTGGCCTAAAATTTCCAAATATTTTTGGGTTTAAGGTTTTGGAAAATTTCACCATATGTTTGAGAGAAATATTTGATTTTTATAAAAAAAAATTATATATATTTTTTAAAAATTATTAAAATAAATTTGTATTATTATTTTATAATGAATCCGTAAAAAGTCACAATAACCAACATTAATACATAATTAATATAATTTGAATATTCACATTAATCCAATATTATATAAAATATGTATATTTCGTACAACAAAATAGAAATAAATTTTAATCCAAAACCATAAATGATGGATATTTTCTAAACTATAAACTATAAAGATTGTAATATAATAATTTATAAATTTTAAAATATTCCCAAATACTAAAATTTGGTTCTAATTCTTTTTTTTAAAAATATAGATGGGATGTTTATTTTTGCCAAGTAATTGACAAATTATAGAGTAATTTCCCTAGATAGTCACCAATGTTTGGGAAATTACCTAGGAATATCATTTATGTTTTTTATAGGACCACAATATCACCCAACTTGATCTTTTTTCCTCAAAATATACTTCACACAAAAAAAATATTATCTCTCTCCTAATAGGATGCCATGTCACATTATTCTTTTTTTATTATTAACATTTTTTTAAAAAATATTAGACAACCCATATTAGACAACCCAGTAAAAAAAAATTACAGAGCCAAAATTTTCTACCCTAGTTCTAGGGGATTTGGCGGCAAATCCAAAGATGAGCTCCTCCAACTCTTCAAGAAAATATGGGGCTTCCTCTGTTTCTTCAAGAAATAAACTAATGAATTTGCATAAGGAACTGTCTCCTGAGTCGTTGTATACCTTTGATGTCGACCAAAGAAATGGCCACGAGGTAAAATTCAAGTTTTCTTCTGATTCTTTTATCTTTGAAGTGTAAATTGTGAAATAATTTGAATACCTAACATGATATTGGAGTAATCTTTTTAAAATTTAGGGGTTATTTGCTTGCTTGTTTTTGAATCGGATATTTCTATTGTTTGAATCTGCCTAAGCTTTGAACAAATGTTTATAGTTTGTGTAAATATCATTTTTTTTATCATGAACAAGAAACCTTTGATTTTTTACAAGCAACAGATGTTTATAGTTTTTGTAAAAATCGATGTTCCTAATATCTAGTTTATCTCTAAATATCCAACTCCAGAAGTGGATTAGTACTATGTTTTGGTTTTACAAAATGTCTGTAGGCTCCTAATACTAAGTACTTTAGTTACGTTGTGGAATGCCTACATTAGGAATTGAATTGTTTGTGCCCCTGCTATGTAGTTCTTGTCTTTCTAGCTATAAGCTCAATGCAAATCAAGTTTATTTGTTTTATTGAAATTATTGTATTTTGATAAAGAAGAAAGAGTCTAATCTGTGGATTGTGGCTTCAAAAGATTTTGAAGGTATAGAGCAAAGGAATTTTACACAATAGTTATATATGAAGACTAGTGCAACAGGACATGGCCTTAAGTACATACATATGCATATATCAGCAATCCCTCAATATAGTGACATGTTGCTTGGACTCTTCAACAATATCAATGAGTGTGTGTCGGATTCTCAAAAATAGTGTATTTATTGAGAATCCGACACGAGTGCGACACCGAAAGTGAAAATTCCACGCAACTTAGTTGGTGTTCACTCAAGAAATGATTCAAAACAAATTTCAACTGTCAGTGACTAACATATATAGATAAAATTCTTTTAGCAGTAGAAAATCAAAACAGAATGCTTGAATACTATTGAAGCTTTTCTAGTGCAATATTAGTGTTGTTTTGATAACTTTCTGTTGCTAATTTTGGTGCGATTTTAATGCCCTTTAGAGTGAATAAATTTATGCATATTAAAAAAAACACTTAGTGTTACTTCTAAATGAACACTGTAGTATTTTTCTTTCATTCATCTGGACACAAGGAAACGTTTTGCTTCTCAACATCATTTGCTTATTGTAGGAGTATCCAGATGCAACAACATTGCAATTTGAATCTTTTTTGAGTCGTATTAACAGTAAAAATATAAATGTGAATATTGGAGAAGAGACTGATAATGTTAAGGATACTATCGATGAGGAAGATTTTCATGATTCAGATTATAATATTTCTGGTGAAGATGATGACTTTCAGGAGGTTATAGTTGTAAACAAAAATGTGAAAGGGAGGGGACGACCAAAAATTACACCAGGCTCTATCAATGTACCATCTAGTTCTGCGATTGTAGTACCACCACAGGTTGTTGATACCGAATCTGATTATGTAGATTCAGATGAAATGTTGGAGGAGGTTGAGTCTGAAAAAGAAGAAGATAAGCTTCAGGAAAAAGTTACCTATGTGGAGTATAATGAAGAGAAACACAAAGACAAGCCAATATTAGAGCTAGGGATGACGTTTGGAAATTTTACAGAATTTAAACAAGCTTGCATGGAGTGGGGTATTAAAAATAGAAGAGAGCTAAAGTTTTATCCCAATGATACAGAGAGGGTGGTGTGTATTTGCAAGCGAAAAGACTGTCCATTTAGAATTTATGCTAGCAAGCTAAGTCAAGATGATTCTACCGTGCAGATCAAGTCTATCAATTTGACTCATAAGGGTGGCATGGTGTTTGATAATCCCCACATGACACCAAAATATATATCTAGAAGGTATTTTGAAAATTTTAAAGTTGATCCAAATTGGAGTATAAATGGAATCATAGCTACCGTAAGAAAGGACCTCAATTATACAATATCATATAAGAAGGCATGGAGAGCCAAAGATCAAGCTCTAAAATGGGTGGTTGGAGATGAGAGCCTTCAATATGGTAAGCTTTTATCATATAGAGCAGAGTTATTGAATTCTAATCCTGGATCAACTGTTGTGATTTGGAGAAATGAAGAAAAGTTTCAGGGATTTTATGTGTGTTTTGGTGCACTGAAAGAAGCATTTAAATCAGGGTGTAGGCCCTTCATTAGCCTAGATGGATGTTGGCTAAAAGGAAACTTTGGAGGAAATTTATTGTCGGCAGTTGCTATAGACCCTAATGATTGTATTTTTCCTGTTGCCTATGCTGTCATAGCTCAAAATGAAAGTAAAGAAACTTGGAGTTGGTTCTTGGAGATTCTCAGTGAGGATCTAGAAATAAGAAACAGTCATCACATAGCGTTTATGTCGGATAGACAAAAGGTTTATCATTTTACAGTTAATATATTTTTATTTAATTTACTTTGACATTGTCAATTAACTATTTTAAATAATTATGCGCAGAGCTTAATTGGAGCAGTTAAGGACTTGTTTCCTTTTGCTGAACACAAAAGTTGTGTTAGGCATATGTACCAAAATTTCAGAGGAAAACACAAAGGCAAAGCTTTGAAAGATTTGGTGTGGAGTGCAGCAATTGCCAGTAATGAAATAACATTCAAGAAATGTATGGAAAAAATTGAGCAAGAAGATAGAGAGGCAAGAAATTGGTTCAACCATCCAGAAAGACCATTTCAAAGTTGGACTAGAGCCTTATTTAAAACAAATATTAGATGTGATATGTTGCTCAACAATTTGTGTGAAAGCTTCAACAAGTAAGTTCAAAAAAAATTTTATCTTTCTGTCAATAGTTATTTATATAATACTAATGCATATATTTTTTAGGTATATACTTGATGCCAGGGATAAACCAATCATTACAATGCTAGAAATGATAAAGAATAAGCTAATGAAGAGATTGCATAGCAAGAGAATCTGGATTGAAAAATATCAAGATAAGATTTGCCCCAAAATTGTCAAAAAACTTAACAAAATTAGTAATGAGGCTGTTATGTTTAAACCTGACTATTCAGGGGGACCAAAGGTGTTGGTTAATGGACCTGGGGACCATATGTGGTGGATATGATGGCTAAGAGTTGTACTTGTCGGAGATTTGAGCTAACTGGATTGCCATGTACTCATGCCTATATCAGTATTATTGATAACAGTGAAAAAGTGGAAGATTATGTGAATCCATTCTATCATATTGATACCTTCAAGAATGTGTATTCTCATTACATCAACCCAACAAATCATGAAGATCATTGGCCAAAAATATTAAATGGTGGACAAGTTTTTCCTCCTAATGTTGTGAAGAAAAAAAGGGGGAGGAAGCCCAAAAATAGGAAGAAAGAGCCAGAAGAATTAGAGAAGCAAAAAGCTGCTGAAACTACTAAAAAAAGAGCTCGAAAGAAGACCGAAAACATGAAACCTCAGAAGTTGTCAAAAAAAGGCTTTGTAAAAGGAAGGTGTTCAATTTGCAAGGAGGAGGGTCATAATGCAAAAGGTCATTATAATGTGCTCAAAAGGGTTGTTGGCACATCTTCCAATCAATCTCTAGATCAGACCTTAGAACAAGCTGAAAATGATGACTTCTGGGACTATTCTAAATTTTATCATCCATAAATGTGAGTAAATTCTCAAATGAATTTGAACTTCACAAAGCAGTCAAATACAACTCAGGTAATGAGTTTTTTATTTGTTTTTTCTTTCATTAGTTTCATTGTTTAGTTGTAGCTTTTTTTCCATTGCTTTTATTGCTTAGATTTTTTTCTATGTTTGCTCAGGTGTATGCTGAATCTGTTGATTGATCTTCCACTAAAAAGTGAAGAAATCATTTTGAAAGAGAAGAAATGAAGGATTATGTAGTTGCTTTGCAGAAGGAGAGAAACTCTAGCAAACATTTGAGATTATGTTTCGTGTCTTTTGTTAGTTATGTGAAGCACTTCTTTAGACACATGATCTGTCTTCTTTTTGCTAAAACCTCTGTGGTAACATTATGGTCTGCTACAGTGTGTTGTTGCCACTTGTCTATAAAATATTATTTAGTTGTAAATATAGCAAATCATGACACGCTTTTTTGAAGCGTTTATGCTAAAAAAATTATTTTAAAGATCAAATTTGTTTTTAAGGCGCTGATAAATTTTTTATTAAATTTATTGTCTTCTTCATCAGCTTCAAGGAACTAGTTTAATTTTTTCCTCGATAGCAAGGCTAAATTTTTGTATGGATATAGCGACAAATACTTGTAAATGAAACATAGGATAAAGATTTTCGCTATAAAATTGAAGTAACTAGATTTTCATAGAGAATGGATTAATGCTCTCTTATAGATACATTAAACAAGTTGTCATTTAAAGAAATAAAAAATGTTAATAATAAAAAAAGAAGAATGTGACATGGCATCCTATTAGGAGAGAGATAATATTTTTTTTGTGTGAAGTATATTTTGAGGAAAAAAGATCAAGTTGGATGATATTGTGGTCCTATAACAAACATAAATGATATTTTTAGGTAATTTTCCAAACATGAGTGACTATCTAGGAAAATTACTCCAAATTATACGCTCAAACACTACTCTCAATCTTTTCCCAAAACGGAGCCAAAATATTTTTTTTTTTCTGTGTAGAGCAGCTACACAGGGAACCTATGTTGCCTAATTGGAATCAATTCTTCCATGACAATTGGGTTATAGCTTACTCCTTACTCCATATTATAGTGTTTTTCAGTTGATCTTGGAATAGGATTTTACCAATTCAAATTCATTATACCTTTCCATATTTTGAATAGGGAATAATTTATGGATGACGATTATGTATTTATGTTGCTAATCCTCAATGAAAATTAAATGAGAGCCATTTCTGTTTAAAGAAGAAAAAAAGTAACAGAAAGCATTGCACGGCATTAAACAGCAAAACAAACAATACCCAGTATTGTAACCTCACATTGCAAACTTGAAAGCAAACTTGAAAACATAGCAGAAAGATAAAAGAAAGAGTAAAACAACACGACTTCTACATCTCTACCATCTTTATTTCTACTACATCATACCCCACCAACCATCAAAACAGAGTCCATAACTTCAAGCAACTTTCACCTCAATTGTTTTTGGTTTCTTTGGCTCAGGAGGAGGCAATTTCTGAACAGTAACAGTCAGAACTCCATCTTGACAAACAGCAGAAATCGCATCAGTATTCGCATTCTCCGGCAGACTAAACTTCCTCATGAATTTCCCAACCCTTCTCTCCATCCTAATAAACTTTGCCCCTTCTTTCTCTTCTTCCCTCTTCCTTTCTCCGCTAATCAACAGCACATTGTCTTCTTCCACCTGCACTTTGATATCACCAGATTTCAACCCTGGCATATCCACAACAAAAACATACGAATTAGGATACTCCTTCACGTCCGCTGGTGTAGCAGCCATGGCCTTAGCATCACGAACGTAGTTCCTTGATGGTGCATTGACCGACTTGTCGGAATCTTCACCGGCAGCTTCCATCATATGCTGGAGAGTGTGGAAGAGTGGTGTGTTATCGATACCCAGCAACCTCAAATCCATTTTCAGTATTGAGAAATTTTTGGATATTGTGATTTTGTGCTTGGAATTGTTCAATTTTGGTTTGATTTCAAATTGCAGTGAATTTGGGGATTAGGGGTTAGGTTATATAGTTGAAATGTGGAAAGTTCTGGAGGTGGATCGAAGAAGAATGAAGACAGTTTCTAGGAGCTTCTACTCTTCATCACGTTCTTTCTACACTTGTCTAGAAACTTGCCGATTGCTCCTTTTTATTTTTTATTTTCTTTACACTATTTTTCAAGGGGTTGATATATTTATTTATCAAGAAAGAAAATTTACTTTATTGTTTGTTTGAAAAGGCACTATTCGGATAACGGAGAATTTTTATATAATCAATATTTATTACTTATGTGAGACACTTTATTAATTGACATGTGGACTAAAAGATTTCAAAATTATTTTAAAATAAATTATAGAAAAATCTATATTAAAGTTAGATTCTTAATTAGGATGTCTAACTAGTACTAGTAATGGTGTGCATTCGGTTTGGTTTTGTTCTATTCGTTTGGATTTTTTGGTTCTTAATTTTAAAAAAGTGTAACCCAATTTCATCCAAAATAAATTTAATTAGTTTGGTTTGATTTTCCTCTATTCTGTTTGGTTTTTTTGGTTTTGTTATTTGGTTATGTCAATAATTTAATATACTTTCTAATATAAATCATAAGTAAAACTTAAAACACAATACTTATAATTATATATATTATAGATGTCCAAACATAAAATATAAACTTAATCATAATGAAAGCAATAAATAAAAAGGGACAAAAATAGTTAACTCCAACTTATATATATATATATATATATCAGTTCTTTTGGTTTTTTGATTTTTTTTTGAATCTAAAACCAAACAAAAAAAATAAACAAAGTAAATTATTAATTCAAAATCATTTCAAATAAAAAATTGATTTGATTTGATATTTCGATTTAATCCAAATAGTGCACAATTATACTAGCTAGAGAATAATTTAATGAAACTTAAAAGTTAAAAAAAAAAAAGAGAGAAGAAAATCTCCATATTAAAGAAAAAGAAGGCATAGGCAGCATCGTTTTAAGATTTTAATAATTGCTACATAAAAAAATTGTTTTTAATAGTGTACTATTTTAAATGTTCACGTATAATTTAAATTAAAAGTATGATAATTTAATTTTTATATTAGCATATTTTAACTTTTTTCTGTGCAATCAATTAAGAGGAAACTAAAATTTTAACTCATAATATTGATGACACGATTCTGTTGATTTTTATTTTAAAAAGTTATATTAAATCAATACAATCTAATAAAAAAAAATTAGTGTCATTTAAAAAATCACATTATTTAAAATAATTTAAAATGATGTCTTTATGCCCTTTTATATTTTTTATAATTTATTTTCAAATAATCTTGTGGGACATTCAATCCAATGTCAAAATTAATAAACTGTTATGCGACTCACAAGTAAAATTTCTCAAGCAAGTGGTCTCAAACTCTTGTATGAGTGTGTAATTTTTAATAAAAAATCGAGAGAAGTGTTCAAAACACTTCTAAACTTGATGAAAATTTAGGAGTTCCAATTTATTCATGTTGCAAGATTGGGAATATTTTAACATTCAATTAGTTAAATTAAGGATTGTTTTTAAGGTTGTCGATAATTTAAGAATGAAACTAATAATTCACGATGGATTAAGATATGTTTTCAATACTTCCATAAAACGAAAGGAGTGAGAGAGGAGTAAAAATGCGAAAACAAAACAGTGTTAAATTAACTGAGAAAAAGCCTAAAATAGTCTCTTATCTTTAGGTTAAGATTCAAAGTAATCCTTGAATTTTCACGTAGAGCACTATTAGTCCTTCATGTTTGAAATATTGGTGCACTTTTGATTTACCCCCAAACTTTTTTCTATTTTTTAACATTGATTTTGTCCACATTTTTATGTATACAATGTTCAATCGTCTTTTTATATATTTAGTAGAAATAATAACTTTATGTGAGAGAAAATGGGAAGAAGAATACTTTGTTTTATTCAGTAGAAAATATTATTGCAGCTAAATTAAGAGCACCTTAATATATGACATTGCAAGAAAAGAAAAATTTATATTGTTGCATGCGAAATCAATGATTTCAACCTCTTGATTTTAGATGCAATAATATTTCTACTAAACAAAATAAGGTGTTTTTTTCCTCACATTCACTCACATGGAGTTGTTATTTCTACTATATATGTATAAAAAAGACATTGAATATTCTATAAATAAATTGTGGATAAAATCAATGTTAAAAGATATGCAAAAGTTTGGAGGCGGACAAAAAATGCACCAATATTGAAAATATGAAGGACAATTAATGCTCCAAGTGAAAACTTGAGGATTCTTTTGAATCTTAATTTAAAGATAAGGAATTATTTTGGATTTTTTCTCTAAATTACTTAGGATTTTTTACTTAAATAATATATTTTATTTGATTAATTACCCTTTCTAATGTTACTTTGTGTTTATTACCATTTATGACATTTTTTAGCTTTAATATCCATT